CAACTACCCACTTCCTAACAGGGTTGAATTAAGATAGGAAAATGTTTGCAAATTTGTTTGGAAGCTGAGAAAATGCATCAAACTACGTGTGAAATCTCTTCTGATACAGTGCAGGCACTCCAAATAGGTAAGGAAATACATGAAGACAAACACCTCTGCAAAAGCAAGGACAGTCAACTTTTCTTGGCATTTTGTTATAAGTTTTCTTGGAAAGAAGATGAACATGGAGTCTAATGGTAATTTGCACAACAAGAATAACTCTATTTATCCATTTCACTTACATGTCTATTAGCTACTTAATCAATCTAAAACCTCTTGTTTTCATTCGAGGAAGATTATCAGAAGGCCTAGGTAAATAACTTCAATAGTTGGAAAATAAATTTTTCATAGAATGAATGCTATTGTTTATGCTTGATGAAATGACTTAGCTCACAACACGAATTTTGCAGAGGTCATGAATCCAATCACTTGGCTAACATGGGCATACATGTTTCCATATACCACAAAAATCCAGCCAAAAACCAAAGGTGTGGAGTAGGGATGATGGCAACTTCCCTCTCTGCCCTCGCGGGGTTTTGTTGGGTTTGCCACGAGGGTGGAAGGTGATGGGAAGTATTTTCTTTTGGTAAAACTTTGTGGGGATATATTTTTTATGTCATGGTTATAGCTTATAGCCTTATACCTATTATTTATTTTTAATTTTATTTCAATACTTTAAACTAAACTCAAGTTAATTAATACTTTTTTATTTTAACTTAACTCTTTAAAATAAAAATATTTTATTTTAAAAATAAAATAAAAATAATTAAATTAATTTTATAATATAGATTAACAGGATAAGAATCGCCGCAGCCACGGAGTAAGGAAAACTGAAAATTATCTCCCGTCAACACTAAATTGACAGAAAGACGAAAACAGGTTAAAAAAAATAAAACTTAAAAAATAAAAAAAAAAAAGAATTTCTTTAGTTAAGGGACTAAACAAAAATTTATATCAAAATTGAGGAACCAAAAATGTGTTTTAACCAAAAATGCCAAATAGATCCTACCCTGGTTACGTCCTTGTTCGTTGGCGTTAAAATATCCAATGTAATGATTTCCTTTTTATTTTTTATTTTTTATTTTTTATTCCATAACAACAAATAATAATCTCTTATTTTTTAGTTTTATTTTATTTCACTTATATATCAAATATTTTAAATTTCAATTTTTTTACTTTTAT